TGGCTCATAGCCTGTGGCATCTGAGTACCATCTGGCCGTGGGGAAGGATTTCGTTTTCTCTCTGTAAAGCTGCAGGAGGAAGGTACGAGCAGCCGCAGTATACTTCTCCTTTAGGATTTTTAAGCTTGGTTGTATGATCATGGAATTTGAGGGGCATACTCCTACCCGTGTCGGCTAGTCTATCGGCAAATTCATTCCCTCTGATACCAATGTGGCTGGGCACCCAATTAATGGTTATTCTTCTACCCTGAGCAAGAATTCGCTGTGCTATGGTAAGCACAGTAGTCATACACACCTTGAACATTATGTCTCAGAGCCATGGCTTTTGATTTGGCTGCAGAGATCTTTAATCCTGTCCTACTACAACACTCCTCAGATACAAGGTTCAGATAACGTTGGTCTTTATTTAGGCAATATGGTCCAGTGGAGGTGATTGCAAGATCGTCTGCATAAGAGATGATCTTACACCCGATTGGAAGGTGAATGTTGAGGATGCAGGGTGTTGAATAGGCTGGACTAAGAAACCCACCCTGTGGCGTTTCATTTTCTAGTGGCTTGTGTTGTGATGGGTGCCTGTTCTGTTCCTGAAATAGTCACCTATCCAAGCCAAGAGCTTTCCTCTGATTCCCTTCTGGATCAAGCCTTCTCTAGGTCTAGGGATACTACTGCAGATGTGCCAGTACTAATTGTGCTTAAGATCGTGGCTATGCTGTGTGCTGTGATCATGCCCCTTCTGAACCTGTGGAGGCGTTCATGTGGGGGTCCCATTTTCCATTGGAGGTGTTTTAGTACCATCCTCTCGGCCGTCCTGGCCAGACAGCTGAGGAGAGATGTGGGGCGGTACTTCCCTGGCTCCTTTGGTTTTGGGGTGGAAATTATGGTAGCCCTCTTCCAGCTCTGGGGTTGAGTGGAAGTTCCCTTCCACTCCAAGGTTGATGGGGTACAAAATCCCATCAGAACCCAGGGCTGATCGAGAACTGTTTTTGTAGTTATTTCCTAGTTCCCACAGAGAAAAGATAATATCTGAGTTATCAGGTTCTCTGATATGAGGAAGTCTGCCCGGTTGTAGACGTTCTTGTTTTGCTGTCAGTTCGGCTGGCAGACTGTTGCTGCTTGTTCTTGTAGAGAACACGTGCTCCAGTCTGCCTCTGATTGAGGGTCATGGTGTGTGCACATCAGGGCTGAGCAGCTGGTAGCTCGCCTGACCCGTTGCCATAGCTCTGTAAGGGTGGTTTGCTGGTCGAAAGACTCTCACCATTCCAGCCACTTTTCCTGCCTGACTCTGTTGGCAGTTTCCTTGGCATCCCTGACAGCCTCCCTTAGGTGAGCTAGGTTGTCAGCAGTTCTTTGCCTTCGGAATTGTTTTCGGCACATGTTTACTTTATGCGGTTGACCTCCTTAATCTCGTCATTATAGTACCAGGCATCTTTGTGACTCCAAGACCCAGGCCGAGTTTTAGGTATGGTCTGTGAGGCTGCTTGATTTATTGTATTGATAAATCTGACTTCAAGCACTTCCACATTTTCACTTTGTGAGGGTTCATTGCATCTCAGACAGTGGGCCAAGGAATTCTGAAATGCCTGCCAATTGGCCTTGTCTGTTTTCCATCTTGGATTTGGTTGTGGCATTTGGGATGGGCCAGCAACCATGAGGGTAGTTATAGTGCCATAATGGTCACTTGTGACTATCTCATTGAGGCACCATCTGATTCTCTCCACCAGAGCCGCAGTGGCCAAGGTGAGGTCTAGGACCCCTCCTCTGATATGTGTTAGCTCTTGGGTATTGAGAAGAGTGATCTCAGTGAATGCCTCAAGCACATTGGCTATGTGTTAGCCAGCCACATCCGATACCCTGCAGGGAGCCAGGATGGGGTGGTGTGCATTGAAGTCTCCCTATACCGGGTGGTACAGCTGCTAAACAGCTGCTCGTGACCCGGTCCAGCTGGTGGCTCCGCCCCTGCTTCCGGTGGCCGCCGCTACTTATACTCCAAGGATGACCACTGTCAGTTAGAGTGTGCTGTGCCGCGCCCGAGGTCACGCCTGACCGGGGCTGGGCCCGCCAGTGACCCCGGCGACCCTCTTGTTGACCGCGTGATACCCAAGACTTGTCTCGTTGTGTTGAACTAATCGTGTGCTGAACTCTTAATAATAAAGAGTGTAAAGCCACCCAAACTTTTTACTGTCCTGTCACCAATGTTTAGAGGTTCAACTATATATACCCTTTACACTCCCCTTATGATCACTCGGTATTGTCTGAAGTAGCACAGACCTGGCTGATGTCTAAGCTCCTACAGAATGGCTTGCTGTACACATTGTACAGTTTGAGGGAACTCCCGGCCAGGTAAATCTCAACAGCAAGAGATTCAACATTGTCTCCACAGTGCGGTGTATCGGCTATTGTGAAGCAGGGAATTGTTGCTCTGACCAGGGTGATCAAGCCTCTTTTGCCAGTTGAGTGTGGCAGCATGAAGACATGATATTCTGAGAAGCGAACTCCACTGTTAATGTCTCCTGGAGCATGACAATGTCAATGTTCCTTGATCGCACTATTGCGTGGAGGATGGCATTCCTTGTATAGAAGCCATTTATGTTCCACTGTAGTATGCTTAGATTGTGTGTCATGATGTTACTTAGTTGCAACTAAGACATCATTATATTGTGAAGTCCTCACTGATTGAGGGATCTTCATCTGTTTTTGGGCTGTTTGTCAGGCTATACCTGGTTTAGGTCTGCCTGTGAGGGTATGGCTTGGGTTGGAGTATGGAGGGGAGTCTAGTCCTGGGGTGAGGGTGGGGCTGGTTTGGCACTGTCCAGCTTCCTTCCCTTCAGGACTGCAACAGTCTGGGTCATTGCCGTCATGGCGACCGTAACTGCCTTCTCTGCCTCCTTTCTCGACCTCCCTAAAGCTGTTGCTACTGCAGTGACTACAGCGGTCAACAGGAGAGTCATATCTTCCTCATCAAAAAGCAGATTATCTCGTCTTGGGGAGGCTTTTCTAGTGCTCTTTGAACCTTTATTCCTCTGGTTCTTTTTCTGCACTTTGGGTATAGCCGGAAACTCCTTTTTTATTGGAGATATCTGGTATCAGCTGGGGGAGGAGCTTCCTTCCTCTTAGGAGGTCGGGAAGGAAGCCTTTTCTCTTTTGTTCTGTCCCCAGAGATGGGTGCCTGGGGGAGCAGGAACAAAGTCTGGTCGCTTTTTAGCAACCTCTTGTCGCCTGAGGGCCGCCTCTATCCTTACAGAGCAAGCCAGGCTCCAGGCATGATGCCTCTTGCCACAGTTGGAACATTTGGCTGTTGTGTCCCTTTGTTCTTCTTTGAATGCTTTAAGGTACACCTCGATGTTGTGCGTCTTGCTACAGACACCACATTTAGGCTTGGTTGTGCAACTAGCCTAGTCATGACCATATTTTTGTCACTTAAAGCAGCGAGGTGGCTCAGGCACATAGGTTCTTAAGTTGTAGGTGCCCTAGTTACCCAGATCAAGGGTAGTAGTTAGGGCTCCTTTCAAGGTCACCAGGATTTGCCTGGTTGGAGTCTTCCCTTTCGACATTCGGGAAGCCTCCACGACCTGAGGGTGTGATGTGATCAGTTCTACATCATACGAAACTGAGAAGCCTAGTAGCACCATCTTGACTCTCCTATCGTCGGGATTCAGTGGTGAGAGACACACTTTCCTCCCATCTTTAAGCTCCTTCATTTCCTGCAGGAAATTCAGGGTAGCTTGGTCTTTGAGCACAATAATCATGCCCTGGTCTCTGGCAACCTGGATTGACAACCGGATTTTTTTCTGCATTTCCAATGCTCTGACCAGTTGGTAGGGGTCCAGACTCTCCCTCAGAGTCTGTCTCTGGCCTCGGACGTTTCGGCCCGCCCTTTCGGCTTTGGGCATGGGAACAGCAGCTGTTTCAGCTGGTTCAGCTTGTGCTCCCATCTCGGTCAGGGAAGACATCTGAGGGGAACTCAGAGGCATCCCTGGCTTGGCTACAGGCCTGAAAAGACCAGCACAAGAGTCCATCTGCTGGACAATTTGATGGACAGACATGTTTGTGGCTGATGGTTTCTCAGTCTTGTCCATTTTGCAGCAGGTGTGACAGAGTCATCCTGTGTCTTGGATTTTCTTTTGCCACCAGAAGCCACGTATGGCTTCAAAGTGACTGCCTTGTCTGGGCCTTGCATGGGTCGTCAACTGTAATCTCTCTTTGTGGGGGATTTGGGGTTTTGTTTTCCATGTAGTGGACAACTTCTTCATCCTCTTACGCCCCCATCAACCACAGGGTCCAACAAGGGGAAGCTGAATGTTAGAGCCAATGCCTAACAGCTACAGGGGTGGTGAGAGGATATATGCAGCCAATAGCCACTGTAACAACACTCACGGACCAGGGTGAGTGCCAACAGCAGCATGACTGCTTGACCCTAGCCTCCCGACGGAGACCAGCCTGACCGGGCCAGGATCTGGCCACCTGTCTTGCTGGAATAAGAGACCAAAAAGAGGCGTGTTGCTAGCCGCAGGGCGTACTCATGCACGGCATCGCGCAACATCCAGGACTCCCGTCTCCACAGTGCACAAGGCTGCCACGAGAGACCAGAGGGGATGCCTTTCCACCTACAAGATAGACATCATTATTCGGAATCTTTTGCTCATCCCTCTGAAACAGCCACCCAAAGGCTGTTTCACCTCAGTAAGGGAAAGGAGGTCTTGCACCTATACCAAGCGGTTCTTTCATCCCTCTGAAACAAAGGTTGTTTCACCGCGATAACAGCGCTGCCGAATTTGTACCTTTGAGAGACGTCAAGGTAGCCAACTCTCTCTCCCCCGTGATACGTTAATAGTTGATTGTCGCTCACTTTGCTTTGATGTTTTCAGTGATGTGCGGCATAGATTAGACAATCCTTTGGGGATTCTGAGGGTGACTTCTGATTTTATTTATTTATTTATTCATTTTTCTTTCTTTTTAAACAGTAGCCTCATAATCAATCCTTAAAATTAATCATGGTCATGTCAGATGTCGTGTGGGCGTGCCTACATGAGAAGGGATATTATGTTTTCTGTGACTGTTAGTGTTCTGGGCCAGTAGGTGTGTTTTGTGCATTTGTTTGTGTGTTTGTCGATGATACTGTTATAGTGTTTGTCTTCTTGTTCGCGTGTGTTTTAGTGGCTCATTGCTGTAATGTTCTGTGAAGTTTCTGCGGAAATTCAGCCTCGAAATGTTGCGCCGTGTACCCAGAGTAGTGCTTTGTTCTGTACTGATTGCTTTTTGTATTTTTGAGAGTTTGATATTGCAACCAGTGGGATAGCTGTGTATTCAAGAATTAGTCTGACAGTTTTGTAGAGTCTGATTTTTGTGCGTGGTGTGCAGCATGAGAAGAGTCTGAGTCTGGTGAGTGTTGTTTGTGCTTGTGTGATTCTTTGTTTGATGTGTGTGATGAATCTGGTATTTGTGAGGTGGAATCGGAGATGTTGCCTCTGTGTATAGGGATGGGTAGTGAGTTTCTGCATGCGATGTGGATGAGTTTGAATTTGTTGATGATTGTCAGAGGGGTTGATGTTCTGAATAGCTCTTTCTGTTGTGAGTTTCATGGTGTTGTGATTTAGATGGGTGTGAGATTATATGTGTGATATCGTCTGCATAGGAAATATAATTGTTGTAAGGTGTAGGTTGTGACAGATTGGTTGTAAACAGGATATATAGGGTTGGCGATAAACCGCTTCCCTGTGGAACTCTACTTCTGAGGTGGAGGGGAGTGCCCAGGTGGGTTCCCAGGCGTGTTGTGCCAGTCCTATGGCCCAGGAAGCTGCAGAGGAGGCGCGTGAGATGTATCGGGAGTTGTAACTGTATTAATTTGTATTTGAGACCGTCATGCCAGACCTTGTTAGAGGCCTTGCTGATGTCTAGCAGAATGATGTTGATCTGGTACTTGTAAGCGAGACCGAGAGCAATCTCCTCATGAGCGAGGGCGATAGCGCTCTCGGTCCCCCTGTGTGGGCGAAAGCCGTATTGCCTACTGTTGTGTATGTTATTTTCAAAGTGTCTAGTGAGTCTGCGCGTTATTAGCTTCTCTAGCAGTTTCTCGGAAACTGAAATGGTGTAGGTGTACTCTGTGGTTAGCAAGTACTATGTCAGGTGTTGCTGTGTTTTATGCAATATATGTTGGTGTGTTGTGGACCGAGGTGTATGAGTCTTACTTGTTGTATGTAAGAGGCAAGGCCTCTGCCTATTGCGTTAGTGTGGTTGTATCCAAAGAGTGTGTGGTTTGCATTGAAATCTCCCATGATGTATATTATTGTGTGTGTCTCAAGAGCTGCAAGATGTCAGGTTCTGGGATGTATGGTCTTCTTGGTGGGATGTAGTGTAGTATGATGGGTCCTTGTGGTGTGTTTACTTCGACTGCCAAAAGGTCTAAGGTGAAGTTATTTATGATTTTGTGAGAAATGTCATTTTTGGTCGGAATTCTATGCCATCGCTTCTTTCTTGTGATTTGTTCGAAGAGTAGACTATGTTTGGGTAGTTCTTTAGTAGTGTTATTGAGCCCATGGCTGTTTATGAGGATGATATGAGGGTCCTGTCCGATTTGCCGTCTGCTTGAGTTTTCGCTTTTTTTTTCCAGAGTCCTTTGTCTATAGTATTAGGGCCTTTAACTGTGCCATCCATGATCCTCTCCAAGCCATCATCCCCCACAAAGGAGGCGTCACCCTCGGGCTCATAGGGGTCAGCTGACATTCCGGTTGCCAGCTCTTTAGGCAGTGTCTTTAGTGGTGCTGGTGCATGTCTTTGGGGGGGTCTGATCGAGCTGGGTTTCTAATAGTTGAATGTGTGAAACCGTCTCTGACGGCTTCCTGACTGGGGGGGGGGCGGAGGTTGAACCACCCTAAGGATCCCTCAAGAGTCAGGGAGGTTATTCCTTTTTAGGGCCTCCCTGACATGCTCCCTAAACCGTCGTTCGGGATTTATGATGTATTGTAGGTGGGCATGCAGCAAGACTACTCTGATTTCCTTGGACAGGTTGTTGGGAAGAGCAAGGTGCACCATGGGTTTTGCTTTAGAGATTATGTTTTCCCTGGTTTCTTTGATGTCTTGGCGGACCTGGTTCATCAGGGGTTTCCAGGCGTTTGTGGTTGCTTGTACCGAACCTTGTGCTGCTTTCTTGGCTACCGCTTTTAGAGATCTAGGCTCCTTTTTTTCTCCCTTTCCTTCTTTACATGAGAGGTTTTGATGGCCTCTTTTCGGATGGGGCAGCTGTTGGCAAAAGTATGGTGTGCCCCACCACAGTTTTGGCATTTTTGAAGGTACTGGTGCAGCTACGGTAGGATTGGGTTCCAGATCCTACCAGGACATCAAGGTTTTTTTCTTCTATATAGTTGGACGATACGTGTAGCAGTTCATGCATTGCTTCACCAGGGTGAAACGTTTGAAGTGAATGAGGGTGCAGGTGATCAGTGAAGTGATAAAAAGGTGGGAAAATTATTTAGGGGGAGAGAAAGTGAGAAGGTTGTTGGAGATGGTGATTATGTGCTCTTCATAGAAAGTTACTGAGAGCCTACACTCGACCCCCCTCAGCATCACTCTGGTTGCGTTCTCCACTGCACTGAAGGATCAGACCTTTGTGAAATCGCAGGAGTTCAGGAGGAGAAAAAGCACACCTAAATGTTGCCTCAGACTGCTGGGCCTCCCTTTACAGATTACCCTGTAATAGAGAGAGCTGCAGGTCTGAGGAGAGGTGTAGTGTTCCCGTGTCACCGTCAATAAGTGAGAAAGAGAAACCACTGAGGGCAGTGGCAAGGCAAGGCAGTTGATTTACTCATTTACTTTAATGGAGAGTTATAATAACAAAAGGGTGTCGCGGCACGATTGAGGCCACGGCGGATCAGGGTGGCTCAATGACACTTTGATTTACCAGTTTGTTACCTCCACCAAGGAGGTTATGTTTTTGACGGCGTTGGTTTGTTAGCAGCGTAGCTCAAAAAGTGCTGGCCAGATTTCATCGAAATTTTGGGGACAAGTCAGAAAGGGACTAACTTAGAACTGATTAAATTTTGGTGACATTCCGAATTACAGTCTGGTTATTATTATCATTATTTAATTATTTATTTAATCAATAAATTTACTATCCAAGTTCGGTACACAAATCTACGGTAAACGTGTGCCACATTTCACCATCTCCCATTTTATTGTTATTGTTACCTCCGCCAAGGATGTTATGTTTTTGACGGCGTTGGTTTGTTAGCAGCGTAGCTCAAAAAGTGCAGGCCGGATTTCATCGAAATTTTGTGGACAAGTCAGAAAGGGACTAACTTAGAACTGATTAAATTTTGGTGACATTCCGAATTACAGTCTGGTTATTATTATCATTATTTAATTATTTATTTAATCAATAAATTTACTATCCAAGTTCGGTACACAAATCTACGGTAAACGTGTGCCACATTTCACCATCTCCCATTTTATTGTTATTGTTACCTCCGCCAAGGAGGTTATGTTTTTGACGGCGTTGGTTTGTTAGCAGCGTAGCTCAAAAAGTGCAGGCCGGATTTCATCGAAATTTTGTGGACAAGTCAGAAAGGGACTAACTTAGAACTGATTAAATTTTGGTGACATTCCGAATTACCGTCTGGACGCAGCAGTGGTGTAAGTACATTATATAAGCACCTTGGTGGAGGTCTGCACTCCCTGAGTGCTTTTCTAGTTATTATTGTAACTCTCTTGGGATTGAATGGGTGCTTGTGGGCATCACATACACAGATATAGCCACGGATTATTACCCCACTTTAAAACATTCCTTTGTATCTGATGGCAATCTTTCTGGTCAAGTCTCCGCACTAATAATTTACTGTAAACCTATCAATCTCCTCCTGGTCAGCTCCATTTCACCTGAACAGATGTTGGGAAACGACTCTCTCCTACTAACGTATTGGCCACACCCGTCTAACATACTTCTATATGTTGTTACATTCTGATCCGCCCTTATGATCTCCGTGTAATGTTCCTCTTTCTGGACTGCTATCCTGTTCACGTTTTGCTACCGACCGTACCTCTGCTTTCCCCCACCTATTCTCCCTTCACCAACTTCTCAACCTATCACACATCTTTACGGAATCCCACACTTTCTGCTTTGACACATACATATCTTTCACTTAATCTAATCCCCCATACTTAATCCTACCTTAATCCATTCACTCATCAACTCCTTTACCCATATTTAACCTTTCCAATATAACTCTTGATTGCTAACTTATAGCAACTAACTACTAACTCAACCGCCCTGCATTACCCTTTACTATACCTTTCTATAGTGCTACATGACCTTAGATGTCTAACACATTTATTTTGCTTTTAACCATTTGACTGCTGATCTCGGTTCCGGCTCCTGCTTTTAAGACTGCTATAGTGGCCCTCATTCCTAAGCCACGAAAGGACGCGACTGACTCAAAGAGTTACCGCCCTATTAGTCTACTCGAGATATTAGGTAAAATTTTCGGAAAAATCTAAGGTCGAGCGGCGCACTCAGCATCATCACCAACAACATAAATAACAACAAAAACCGACGACTAAAGATTGTCCTTGTCACAAAATAGGTTGAGAGAGCCTTTGACACCACCTGCACTCACACAAACAAGCGCAAACTCCAGCTTGTTGAGAATAAAGTACTCGTGAATGTGATAAGTTGGAATTAATTTATTACAACACCTGAACTCCCATGAGGAAGCCTCCCTGCTTCCTCTGAACAATGAGTGGCGTAGGTTGGTCCGTAAACCTAGCATAGCAACTTTCGCTGCTAATACTCGAGCAAGGACCATAAACCCTTTGTCATAAGGATTTATGCGAGCCGAGGAAAGAAGTGTCACCGCCAGTGGTGTTAATCCAAACATGATGTGGCCGCCAGGGCCGCAGCTCTCCGTAAGTCCCGCGGCCGACGAAGGGAGACCTGTCGACAGACGGGAAAGGCCAGCCCCTGATTAGTGACCACTTCCGAGCTTCAACGGTAAAAGTTAGCCGAGGGATAGCCCTGGAGTCACGGTCAATGAGGCTGTGCCCAGAGCAAACTGCAGATGGCACCTAACCTGTTAACTCTCACCCCATCCTCCCATGTTAGCCGAGAATCCCACTGTTGTTCAGTGTAACGGGGTCCCGGGCCGTGTGCCCGACCTACTTCCCACGAGAACGCCGCGAGCGCGCGACCTCCAGTGCAGGCACGCGCTCAAGGTCATAGGGTACTCGTACCTAACACAGAGAGATCGCCGGCTCCCTCCAGCGCAGCCTCGTATGGCGGAGGGGAAGCACCGCGCCCGAGGACGACCGCACCGAACACAAAGAGATTCAAGATGGCGCTAGGCCACCCACACCCTTTCCTACTTTCAAAGAACCCACTACAACTATTACCAAAAGCTTTACACTGCATGCTGGGTTAAGCCTCGGCTGCTTTTTCTTCTACTAAAATTCTTTTTCTTCCACCCATTATCCTCCCGCTTTCTTCTTTCTAAACATTTGTCTTTTGACAGGCCTGATGGGCAGGGCCATTCACAAGGAAGGAGCGAGGTGACCCCAGATTATGCGAGACTCCAATAGCCTTGAATACACATAGCTTGGTCTTTCATAAGTACCGATATCTGAAAATGCTCTTGTTGATCGAGTCCATGGCTCTTGCTGTCAGACCAATTCGTATACTGATTTCTTGGTCTGACAGCCCAGAGACATGGACTGCGCTACCAAGGTATGTAAAGTTCTCTGTGACTTCACTTTCCTCACTCCAAGAATGTATTAACTGAACAGGTTCCCCTTATGTTCAATGCTCAAAGTGCCAGGCAAAAACCTTGCCTGTCACATTGAGCAGTGCGATGCCACAGTAGTTGCTACAGTCCCATTGATCCCCTTGCAAGCCCTTCCAAGAGAGGGGTGACCATGCCCCTCAACAGGTTGGGGGAATGGAACCAGACTGCTAGATGGCAGTCAAGTGAATGCAAACCTTGTACCATAGGTTCATCCCCAGCCTTTAGAAGTTTGGCAGGGATATCACACATGCCTGCAGCTTTCTCAGTGTTTAGCTTAGAGATTGCCTTCCTAATCTCAGATAGGGTATGAGGGTGATGGGTGGGTCTGGCACAGGTCTTGTGACACCGCTTGCATCCAGACTAACTGCTGGAGGGTCTACCGAATACAGTTGCTCAAAATAATCAGGCCAATATTTACAAACCCCAACATGATCTGAGATGATCTGTCCATCCACTGAGCGGAATGCAGTCATCTGTGAGGAGGGCAGAGTTCAGTTTTCTCAGGGCTTGGTAGGCTGGGCAAAGGTCGTTTATTAAGAAATGGCCTTCAACATCCTCAGCAAGATTCCAGATGTACTATTCCTTGTCCATTCTTAGCAATGTCCAAGGAACGGTGCAAATCCTAATTGCCATTCGGTAGAGCCATGTGACATGCATCTGTGAACTCCAGTGTCTTCAGTGAGATGAAATTCTGCCTTGCTCTCGGGCGTTCGCCAATGGACCCCTGTGCTGCATAGAGTGTTTTGCACTTAAAAAGACTCCTATAGAGCTACTGGGTCTGTTAGGTTTTCGAGTTCTGTGAACCGATCAGAGACTGCTGTGGCAAGCTTCCAGCACACTCCTCCTCCCTCAATCTGTTCAAGTGAAACACCCTAGAGTGACCACTGGAGAAATGGGGTTTTGAAGTGTACCCTTGGAGTAGCCACAACCAATCTGTGGTCAGTGCCACAGAACTCGGCACTCCGGTAAATCCTGCAGTTCTGGAGCTTCCTGCAGTGAGTGCTGACAAGAATGTAATCGATTTCCTTGGCCACAGTACCCGATCCCTTTCCCATGTCTAGCGATGCAGGTTAGAGCACTATTACCAGGAGCCAGAAATCCTCAATCTCAGGGACCTAGCAAAGTCCTGGAGAAGGAGGCTATTCTTGCTACTAAGATCAACTCCTGAGCCATGGCGACCGACAGACATTTCGTAGCCAGTTCGATCACAGCTGGATACCACATTGAAATCGCTGTGGCATGGCAAGGCTCACCTCCCCTGAGCCACCTATTAACCGCAAGTGGGCTGAGGGGCAGGAGTTGGTATGGAGCCAGGGTGTGTTCTCACTACGGTGGGCCATGACTCTGTACCTCTACTGCCAACTGCTGCTCTAAGATCCACCACAAATTAGTCTGGGCCTCCCAGTTTCCATGGGTGACCATGAGGAGGCACTGCAGAAGTCTCGATGACTTATGCATTGCTGCTCCCTTTTTCGTACTAAGCTAGCCAGCAGTGGCAGTTGCAAACTAGAAGGCGTGCAAGCACTTATCACTATCCAGGCTACCATACCGTCGCTTCACATCGCCCATCCATATATGTAGAGGCCCGCCGCAGGAGGCCCCGTCCCTGGGCAGGGCAAAGGGAGGAATGACCCCTCTTGCCTCCCGTAGGAAGCCGACGCCAATCTGCCACGTCCACGTCTACCATTTCATATCTCCATTTTACTAGGTGTCTAGTTAACAAATAAAGTCTGTTAACAGATACTGAGTTTTCCTCTGGACCTCCAGATAGTATAGTGGATTTCTGTACGTTGAATTAGAGACCATTATATAAATATATGCATATACATTATATATTTGTATATAGATAGATAGATATAGATAGATAGATAGATAGATAGATAGATAGATAGATAGATAGATAGATAGATAGATAGATAGATAGATAGATAGATAGATAGATAGATAGATAGATAGATAGATAGATAGATAGATAGATAGATAGATAGATAGATAGATAGATAGATAGATAGATAGATAGATAGATAGATAGATAGATAGATAGATAGATAGATAGATAGATAGATAGATAGATAGATAGATAGATAGATAGATAGATAGATAGATAGATAGATAGATAGATAGATAGATAGATAGATAGATAGATAGATAGATAGATAGATAGATAGATATATACATATTCATTATATATTTGTATATAGATAGATAGATAGAAAGATAGATAGATAGATAGATAGATAGATAGATAGATAGATAGATAGATAGATAGATAGATAGATAGATAGATAGATAGATAGATAGATAGATAGATAGATAGATAGATAGATAGATAGATAGATATATACATATTCATTATATATTTGTATATAGATAGATAGATAGATATATACATATTCATTATATATTTGTATATAGATAGATAGATAGATAGATAGATAGATAGATAGATAGATAGATAGATAGATAGATAGATAGATAGATAGATAGATAGATAGATAGATAGATAGATAGATAGATAGATAGATAGATAGATAGATAGATAGATAGATAGATAGATAGATAGATAGATAGATAGATAGATAGATATATACATATTCATTATATATTTGTATATAGATAGATAGATAGAAAGATAGATAGATAGATAGATAGATATATACATATTCATTATATATTTGTATATGTATAGCGATGCAGGTTAGAGCACTATTACCAGGAGCCAGAAATCCTCAATCTCAGGGACCTAGCAAAGTCCTGGAGAAGGAGGCTATTCTTGCTACTAAGATCAACTCCTGAGCCATGGCGACCGACAGACATTTCGTAGCCAGTTCGATCACAGCTGGATACCACATTGAAATCGCTGTGGCATGGCAAGGCTCACCTCCCCTGAGCCACCTATTAACCGCAAGTGGGCTGAGGGGCAGGAGTTGGTATGGAGCCAGGGTGTGTTCTCACTACGGTGGGCCATGACCCTGTACCTCTACTGCCTACTGCTGCTCTAAGATCCACCACAAATTAGTCTGGGCCTCCCAGTTTCCATGGGTGACCATGAGGAGGCACTGCAGAAGTCTCGATGACTTATGCATTGCTGCTCCCTTTTTCGTACTAAGCTAGCCAGCAGTGGCAGTTGCAAACTAGAAGGCGTGCAAGCACTTATCACTATCCAGGCTACCATACCGTCGCTTCACATCGCCCATCCATATATGTAGAGGCCCGCCGCAGGAGGCCCCGTCCCTGGGCAGGGCAAAGGGAGGAATGACCCCTCTTGCCTCCCGTAGGAAGCCGACGCCAATCTGCCACGTCCACGTCTACCATTTCATATCTCCATTTTACTAGGTGTCTAGTTAACAAATAAAGTCTGTTAACAGATACTGAGTTTTCCTCTGGACCTCCAGATAGTATAGTGGATTTCTGTACGTTGAATTAGAGACCATTATATAAATATATGCATATACATTATATATTTGTATATAGATAGATAGATAGATATATACATATTCATTATATATTTGTATATGTATATATATACACATACAATATATATTTACATATATATATATATATATATATATATATATATATATATATATATATACATATATATGTATGTATATATACATATATATATATTATATTACGCGCGCGTGTGTGTGTGTGTGTGTGTGTGTGTGTGTGTGTGTGTGTGTGTGTGTGTGTGTGTGTGTGTGTGTGTGTGTGTGTGTGTGTGTGTGTGTGTAAAACAAACAAACAAACAAACAAACACACACACACACACACACACACACACACACACACACACACACACACACACACACACACACACACACACACACACACACACACACACACACACACACACACACACACGGGAGATCATTGAAAACTTGTCACCAGATTCTTGAGAGGTGGAAGAGTGGGTAATTAAGGGAAGACGTTCTTCCAGACAGGGGAGACCATGTTATCCTTTTTCAATAACTGCTCAAGCTTCCCGATTACGAAAAATGCGTATTCAAAGTGTCTTGATTTATGTGCCAAGTGTGCCAAAAAGTATCAGAAACACAACTCAGAGCTCTGTGGATTTGTTTTAAGGAAAATTAGACAACTAGTTGAATGCAGTAGCAGATGAACCAAATATTTTAAGAACGAGGGCTGAATTAAATTCTATTCCAAAAGTTTACTTCTTATCAGCTGAAAGATGGGCAATCCCTCAAGAGGGCCATAGCATGAGCTTCTCCTAAAGCTCTTTCTTAAATATACCTACATACACGCACGCACGCACGCACGCACATATATCTGTTGTCTGATCCAAAAAGACTATATACTGAAGATCACGTCTGTCTGGATACGTTCCTACGGTTGCGAATGGCGCTCCTGCGAAGTGTGAATGCGCTACCGAACGCCTTCGTGTTTCTGCGTCCCCTGCTGAGAACGAAGCAATTGGTCTCTGAAAATAATACGTAGGAGGTATTTTAAATAATATTATCACTCATTTCTGAGTATTAACAATTTTGAATAATGTCAGTACAAGGAAAGAGTTGTTTATTAGACGGAGGCAAGTTGTATATCGAAATATTTATTCGACCGGCAGCCGGCCATATTACTTATCCCGTAGATATGTATAATCTCTAGGGTTATGCACATACAATTTTCATTTAGTAAACTGTTAATCGGGCAATCGAAAATTTCAATATATTGGTCACCTTGAGTACATGGCCACACACCCAACCCAGTTAACATGCTTTTATTATTATACATCCTTACTGGTTCAAACACTCAAGTATTGTTTGGTTATTTATACAGTATGGATGTGCACTCATTTTTTTTAGTGGTGCATTCAAAGTTGTATGTGAGTCAAGACTGTCACCAACTGTATGAAAACAAATGTCATATTTCTTGACAAGCGGACAGTAAAGTTTAAGGGGACTCCTTTTCAGTAGTACTTCTGGAATAGCAACAGTTTTCACAGTCATATGATCCAAGGTAGAATTTCCCTGTAATGGACACAAGAAAATTCACAGAACTTTTCATCTATTGATTTTCTGTTGCAAATTGATAATGAAAAAAATTGTAGTAAATGTATCCAAAAGTACTAATTTGGGATACATTTACATAGTGACTGTCATAAAAAAAATAAGTCATTGCCTCACTGGTGACTTGGTACAAGTGTAGCCATCTCTGTGTTAAAACAATTAATAAAATAAACTTAGTAGGCATGACATATACGTATATGCCATGCCCCTCGGATTTGGGTTAAAATTAGCAATTAGAATATTGTGATCTGGACCATGTCAGAGCAGCTCTTTTTAGATTGTCAACTGATGAAAAATTGGTACCTTTCAATAATTTTTTAAAATTTGGAAACAAAAAGAAGGTGTAATGGTGTATTGTAGTCTTATAAAATCTAGGACATTTTTCTTCTATGCCATTTCCTGCACAAGCTGAAACTAAAATGTTATCTAATGTAGAAATATGATTGAGAAAATAAAAATTAATCAGTAAGCCAGTCAAAAACAAGGACTGATTCATGTTGCTTAGTCTTTGAGGCATCGTGCGGCTTCCCTGTTTGAGGTGGTTCTGAGCTGGTTCTTGTATTGTGAGGACATCTATACGTAATTGCCATATTTATTTTGGTACAAGATATACAGTGACAATGCTCTGTTCTGCTAGAATATATGTGGAGGATGCTTGTCAACTGTAGAATTGTGAGAAGCAGAGCAACTTTATCGCTGTGCACTCAATAGAATCAGATAGGGTACTTAATCATATGACATTAAGTTTAATTATTAGGCCTTTTATACATTTTGAGTCTCTCCACACTCAAAACCTTGATTTGCCGACTCAAAAACTGAAGGTTTGCATAGAAAATGAACACTGGACTGCATCAAACTATGCTGTCTTTGACAAAAAATTTACCATTTTCTTTGGATACCTGATATATAGATGCATTGAGTTGAATGAAAGAAAAGAAAAAAAGCATTTGGGGGAGTTGATATTAAGCAAAAACAATCAAAATAGGGGAAAGACAAATCCAGTTATGCAAATGTAATTCAGGCATTATTGGGTTCTTCCCTACATTTTGTAAAGAAATTATTTCTTTTTTTTTGGATGGGGCTCTAGGAGGGCATTACCCCTTGGAAATTCTGGGGGATGATGGGTCTCATTGGAGAGATTCTTCTAGGCAAAGAGTAAAAACTGCATATAACCCAAAAAGTAAAGATAACTGATTTTTGAAGAAAACAAACAAACAAATAGTTCCCTTAGATTAAGGTGTAATTGAGATTAATCTGTCATTAAACTTCGTTTCAGGCAGTAAGATCCAGGATGGGAGAGGGGATGTTATCGCTCTCTTGGAACAACCATAGTTCTACTTTTTGCCACATGTTGTCCTCTTTACGGGAAAAGGTGAGACAAGTTGATTTAGTTTCTTTCTCAAATGTTTAGAATTTGAAGGCATACCATTGTATAGTAGTAACAAAGTGCAAATAGGATTATAATACAGGGAATGAGTGGATTATTGATTATTGTCTTTGACTAGGGTAGTTTACAAGTAACTCGGTTACTTGTAAAGGAATGAATATCACTAGAAGTAGAAGAATCAAGAAATCACAAGATCTATAGCTCAATGTGGGAATCAGATAAGGAGTGGAGAATAAGGAGAACCTTTGGTTGCTTATTTCCAAGACTCAAAAGGCAGTGGTGCACTCACTAATAATGACATTTTCTTATTTCTGATGCTAATAGTTTTTAATAACTGATAATTTCTCATAACTGTTTTTACATTCTTGTTCTCAGCACAGAGAACAGGCAAGTAAACTTAAGCTATATCATTTCATAACTTAATACCTTGAGTGTGACAAAGATGTACTGAAGGGTTTCTAGGAAAGTTCAGTGTAAGATTATGTATCACATTGCATTGTTTAACATTTTTTGGCATTATTTTTGGTATATGATATGTATTGTATTGTTTAGATTTAGTAATACTTGTATTTTTTATCAAACATTGCACCAGCTTGAAGTGCACCTGTTGACTATATAATTTTCTGTTGTTTACATCAACTTTACATCATCATTGCAGGAAAGATATACAGATGTCACTGTGACCTGTGAAGGGAAATTCTACCCAGTACATAAACTTGTTCTTTCAACATGTAGTGACTATTTCCTGAAAATGTTTGAACGAACACCTTGCAAACACCCAATTATTGTGCTTAAAGATATTCATTGTAAAGAAATAGAAGCTCTCCTCAGTTATATGTATGATGGAGTTGTGAGTGTGGCACAGAATGATTTGTCACAGCTTATAAAAGCAGCAGAACTATTGCAAATAAAAGGCTTAGCAGTACCTGATGAACCTCCCTCCTCAAGTAGAAAAGCTCAGAATGTAAGGAATTTAACAGATGGTAGAATAAGCCCAAATCCCAAACGCCACAAACGAGATCAAGGGGAGATGCAAAATATATTTCAATCCTCACCAAATTCACCTTTCCATCAAGAAAAAGACCAGACACAAGATGCTTCACTGTCACCAATACTACCAAATAAGTCCGAACAAGCTGGAGATAAAGATAAAACCATGGCCAGTGAAGGACAAAAATATCAAGCATGCCAAAGACAAGAACAGGCTGAGGATGCATATCATAACCAAGAAATAAGCCTGCATGATAACCAGGGGGTGGAGCAACACCACATTATTAAGGATTCTCCTAATTCAAATTCTGAGGTGATTAACTTTATTTTACAATGTACATTAAGTATCTTTTGTCAAAAAGTACAGTATCTAGAATACGTTCCTTATAATTTTACTAGTATTCAGTCTTATTGATGAATTTAATCTTATATTTATAGTATAATTGATTTATATTTATGTAAGAATTTCTGTATGAGAGTATGTTTAGATGATAGATGTATATGACTGTTCATGAAACTAAAATCTTGTTTCAATTAGCCCCTTGCCGACGGGGATGGCATGTACGTAAATGCCATGCCCACTGTGAGTCAACTTGTTTGATTGTTTGTACACATAGATGGCTACACTTGTACTAAGTCACCAGTGAACCAGTTACGGGTACTGCCTGTCGCGCCCATTCACCCTTTTCATTGATTTACGAAAATATTTAACGTTATCTTAATTTGGTGTTAAAAATAACACCATCTATATTTATAGCACTAGTAAGAATACGTTCTTTCCCGCCAATTCAAGGAAAGGTGAAATCAGGACTAGCAGAGCCATCTATTTACAGAGATATTTCACAAAAATATAAAAGATGAGTGCAGCATTTTTCCATTTTTTATTCATTTTCCCCGGCGGCAATGGGTTAAAAGTATGAATATGATTTTGAGATGCATGTTTTTTCATGATATTTTCAGATCATGGTTGATGAGACTTTGATTAAGGAAGAAATTTTGGATAGTAGTAATGAGGGTGATATCCCAGACCCAGCTCTTGACTACAATAGTTTAGGTCCAGATTTAGGGCCTGATAGTGGAGGAGGCGTGGAGGATAATATGAATCTGGATTTAGCAGCATCTTTTGACCATTCAGATGGACATGCCTATGATTCTGAAGCAGGACCTTCAGGATTGCAGGGGGTAAGTTTTCTGATTTATATAATAATAATGTATTCATAGACTGTAGGCCTGCATTCTCTAATATGCCTTCTGTTGCCAGCCACCCTGCAGGGTAATTCTGCTTACTACTGTCTTCCTTTGTACAGTGTACATGACTCTTTACCTGCCTTAGTTTGGTATGTTGCTAGATTCTTATATATGGTTCTATGATTTTGATCATAGCCATCTTGGTGGCTACAACTTTATTATTTTTGCATTTTTTTTATATATTATTATTTTCTATTAAGTAAAAAAGGTTGCTTGGGTCAAGTACAAATAAATTAACCCGGAAGTCCAACACAGCCCTCTGGCCACCATCTAGTACCTATATACTATCTGACTGTCATTCCAAGGAGGTAAAACAGCAACTTCTTGTACCACTTGATTGACTTGTGACTGACCTAGTAAGATGTAGCCACCTTGTCACTAATGTCTGCTCCCTTCCTGACAGTATAGTCAATCACTGCCTTGGGCTTGGTCCTCTCAAGATCACTTCAGGACAAAATGACTACCTCATTCACACAAACTGGTATGAGGCTTCTTGTCCAACCACTGAAAGGCAAGGGTGGTTGTCGTGGTGCTTTGATAATCCATGTGGCGGAGACCCAATCACCTCACCATGCTGAGCGTTGGCACCGGTAACCCACAGAGTGAAATGTCATGGCATGTCTCTTGCTCTCTAGAGGGGGAGTACCTGTAGCAGCATGACTCAGCAACCTAAAGTTCAGCATACTTTCCCCAGGATGGGTTACACCACGTCTGCAGCCAAGTCCTCACTCATTGGACAGCAGGCTCCCCTCATTTCCTGTGTGCTTACACAGCACGTGTATGTAAGCCGCAGAATCTGGATCCAAGAACAGCATTTTCTGATCCTTTAGATGAAGACAACCAGCAGCAGCAGTAAAGGCAGGACTACCTAGTCCCTAGGCAGGACTACCTAGTCCCTAGCCAGCTGGGGAGCCTTCTCAGATCTTCCATTGATCTCCACTTCAACCCGAAACACCCAGCCATACCTGTGGGCACTCACACCCACAACAGTCACTCCCTAAAGAGATATAGACCAGTCTAGTGGTAGATGCCAAAACAGCACTTTACTACATCCACATCAGTTCAAGCCTTGACCTTAAAGTTGCGTGGCATAAAATGATGTAAGCTTATGGTATGCACCTAGTTTGAATACCAAGACTGTAGGTGATGAAAAATGGTGGGTAGGTTATACCAATTCTTGGTATGCAACTCATAGCATTTTCTGTAAAGATCTGCAGAATCTGTCAGATCAGTGATTGCCTTCATGGATGCAGAACTCTCATCCTTGTTGTGACCAAGAGCTTGTACACTTTCAGGCTGAAGTTATCTTGCTTGCTCCCCTGAAAGGTACAGAGGGTTAACCTAGAGTGTAGTATTTGAACCGTATTCATGTTGACATATGTAGAAAAGGTATGAATCAATCTTATTTTTTGATACTCAAGACAGAATCATATTTTCAAGGAAGTTCAGGCATTAAAGTTTAAAGAATATTGGCAGTACAGAAAAATAATTCCTGTAATCCTTATATTCACCGGAAATGAATGAGGTAACTTCTTGTGAATATACTTATTGCAAAATTAGACTTGAAATGGATTGGAAACTGATGAAGTGGAAAAATGTGTTTTTATTTTAAGGACAAAGTCTTCTAAATGTGGCATTATATCACTATATACTGTACAGTGCAAATCTTCTTTGGTTCTGATTATCAGAAAAGATGGAAACCTATAATTTAAGAGCTTATTTCCATTATCTCTAATATGCTATTTTTACTAATGAACAAATATTCAAGCATTGTGATACAGTAAGAATATGAATTTTTACTCTCATTCATAGTTCCTCATGAGATATAGTGGACTGAAGTAGTAAATTTTGTAGTAAAAAATATAGGAATGAGAGTTGAATGAGGCCCCAGAAAGAGGGCAAGAATTCTGGGTAAGTTTTACTTGTTAATAGCAACACAAAGTCCTCCATACCTGATTGACATTGTTAGAATTAGGTATGTTTTTGATGAAAAAGGATTAAAAGCTTTTTCTTATACTGATTAGAAGATTTATGATTTTAAGATTATACCAGTTCATCAGGGCATGCCCTGATGAAGCAGTAAATGCAAAAAGGCCTTTGGCATATTCGTGTGTTTTCCTGTACTTCCCTTCATTGTTCTACTTGCATGCCTATACATGCATGCTCACACACTTATGCTTGCACATGGCCTACAATATACTAAAAGATCACCACGCCAGAGCCACATGCCGCTGAGGGGCAACTGAGGTTATATGCATATATATTGTATGTTTGTGTGTGCATGCGTGTGCATGTGAGTGTACATGCACATGCATGTGTTTCAAAACTCTTTCACTTCCCTCAACCCTTCCCCTACTTCAGGGTTTGTTTATCACAGTAGCTCCAACCCAGAGAGGCACGTGTCTGCTGCTGTCTGTATGTGACAGATATTGTTGCTGACTGTTAAGCATATTATTGTGTGCTGTTAGGAATGTTATTAAAATGCTCATATCTTTTTTTTCTCCAGTGGTCAGTACTTAATGAGTCTGGGCAAAGGTCAGCACAGGAATATTGTACTGAGATGAACCAAGATGTGTCTTTAGCAGGCCAGTATAGGCCTCTCCCGCAGCAGCAGCAACAACAGCATGATCTG